AGTTTTATGCAGTCTACAATTCACCCCAGAATTATCCAAACTTTGACTTTCTGAACATCTCACACAAAACTATAGTATAAGGAGACTTCAACGCCCACTCCACCAGATGGGGCTACAAGGATACAAACATAGTTGGAAAGGAAATTGAAGACATGCTAAACAGCAGAACTCTGGAACTTCTTTACAGCAATGAGGATCCGGCTACATATTTGCACTACAATGAAACCAAAACAACTCCTGACTTACTCTTGGCTTCAAACGACAACAGTGAGCATACACGCTGCAAAATAATTGACGATCCTGGTTCTGGTCACAAACAAATCATTGCTAGTATCAACATCGGCAGCAAAAGCATAACATGGAAAGTGCCAACTAAGCTATCATGGAACTTCAAGATGGCTGGCTGGTCTAGATCCACTAAAGTTTTTAACAATGATTTTAACACAAGTCCTCTCAACTTCAAGCAACATCCTGACATACTTTGCACTGATATCACGAATATTATGATCAGATGTGCAAAGAAAACTATTTCCCGAGGCAAGACTAAACAATATCGAGTGTTTTGATCTAAACACCTTGAGGAACTGAAATGTAAGAGGGACGCCCTTCGTAACACTGCTGATCAGACTGGAAGAACGCAAGACGTACAAGCCTGGAGACGACAATCAGCTGTCCTAAGGCAGGCCATCTTACAAGATAAACGCACTTCCTTCGACAAGTTCATCTCAAATATCAACTATCAAAGTGATAGCCAACGCACTTTCAAATTTCTGCGAAACCTCCAAAACAACAGAGAAAGACCCAGGAAAGAACCAATACGCTCAAACCGCAAATTGCTTACCACAGACACCGAAATAGCTAACGGCTTTACGGGATTCTATTCCCACAAGCAAAAGATAAACACTTTTGTCAGAAAATACTCAAGAGATTTAAAGATTCAAGTAAGAGAGTTTGGTGAAATTAAGGAAGACACAACACCAAATAAACTACTTACTGAACCATTCCGACCTTGCGAACTTAATGCTGCATGTAATTACTGAACCATTCCGACCTTGCGAACTTAATGCTGCGATAAACAACTCAAGTGCAAAGAGTCTCCTGGCCCGGAATTTCTAATTAGAATGGGACCAAAAGCCAAGGAAATATTCATCCGGAATTTCTAATTAGAATGGGACCCAAAGCCAAGGAAACCATGCTGACGCTTTACAACAAAATCTGGGAGTAGTCTCGTACCTAACAAATGGAAAGTTGCCATAGTAATACTAGTACTGAAAAAGGGCAAAGACCCTAGCAACTTTGACAACTATAGGAAAATGGCAAGGACCCTAGCAACTTTGACAACTATAGCCCTATCTAGACCTTAGCAACTTTGACAACTATAGGCCTATCTCCCTCGCGAGCTGCTATAGTAATAACAGTACTAAAAAAGGGCAAAGACCCTAGCAATGACTATAGGCCTATCTCCCTCACAAGCGTGCTGGCTAAACATAAAGGCCTATCTCCCTCACAAGCGTGCTGGCTAAACTTAGTCTAGGTGCTGGCTAAACTTATGGAAAGAATGGTTAACAGGAGGCACACCTGGTTCCTTGAGACTAACAATATTCTTAGGTGTGAACACCTTCTTGAGACTAACAATATTCTTAGAGTGAAAAAGCCGGTTTTACGCCACAAAGATAAACGATCCAACAAGTAGACACTTTCCCCCAGCACATCAAAGATGCTCCTGATGCAAGAAATACCCTTACGGCTGCTTTCTTTGATTTCAAATCAGCATAAGACTTAGTATGGAAAGAGAAGCTAATTCTAAAATTGGCAAAGATTGGTATTAAGCATAACATGCTAAACTGGATAAAAGCATTCAATAGACAAAGATCGTGTAAAGTCAGATACGGAAATGCTCTATCAAAATCCAATCTTTTACAAACAGGCCTTCCATTCTTGAGACTAACAATATTCTTAAGAGTGAAAAAGCCGGTTTTACGCCACAAAGATAAACGATCCAACAAGTAGACACTTTCCCCCAGCACATCAAAGATGCTCCTGATGCAAGAAATACCCTTACGGCTGCTTTCTTTGATTTCAAATCAGCATAAGACTTAGTATGGAAAGAGAAGCTAATTCTAAAATTGGCAAAGATTGGTATTAAGCATAACATGCTAAACTGGATAAAAGCATTCAATAGACAAAGATCGTGTAAAGTCAGATACGGAAATGCTCTATCAAAATCCAATCTTTTACAAACAGGCCTTCCACAGGGAGCTGTCACAAGTTGAACTCTTTTCAATGTCTTCATCAATGACATAGCCGAATTGGTACAGACAGTCACGGGCATCAAGTGCTTACTTTACGCAGATGATCTGGTACTGTAGTATTCCACCACTAAGAAAAACGCTCAGGAGAGGACAGAAAGTGCTCTTTATAGTGCACTTAAACTACTAGCAAACTGGTGCGGCAATAATGGAATGGTAATTAACACCGCAAAAACTGCATTCGAAACATTTTCTTTGACCCATCACAGCATAAACCCGCTTCTAAGGTACAAGGATACTACCCTAGAAAAAACCAATTAGTTCGCCTATCTCGGAATGACGTTTGACACAAAGCTAACGTGGAGAAGTCACATAGCTAAAATAGCAGAACGCGTCTCCAATAGACTGAATGGACTGAAGCGTCTTGCTGGTAGCGTATAGGGATATGCGCGCTCAACTCTAAACACCACTTACAAGATGTTTATTCAGCCAATAATGTTGTATTGCTGTGAGCCACTCATTACAGCCACAGAGGTGACTCTCGAACCACTCGAGAAGACACAATCGAGCATTACGACTAATTACTGGAGGGATAAAATCAACACCCATTGAGTCAATGCTCCTAGTTACAGGAAGCACCACAATAGGTTCCCTTATCAAAGAAAAGGCCTTGATCCTGTATGAGAAGCTACTGCGCATTCCCATGGACAAGTTCTTCAGCACCTATGAGAAAAGACCAAGACATCTGAAAACGCAATCTGGTCTAATACGGAAAGCCATAGAACTGAAGAAAGCATTACAAATCGATGACAAACCAAAAAAGCATCCTTCTACCCACGAACTAATTAGCAGACATTGATCTTCCAGGAAAGTGACATCTTGTTTCAATATGTCACGAATGTCTGTCTTTTTCTTATTCTCCACTTCAATTTATCTTAACTTGTCGATGATCTGTTATATACGCTTTTGCAGCTAACAATTAAAGACCCAAGGTGGCATCGAACAGGAGTAATAAGAGCAAAAAATCCAAGTAACAATTCCTTTGCATTTCATTCGCAATACACGTTCGAGTGTTTATTGGTAGATAGTGCATGCATAAGTGGATGTTGGGCTAATTGATGTGAAAGGTGGGAAGATGGAAAGTGAGATACCCAGAAATCAGCACCATGAGAAGTTCCTTTAATTATCTTGAGAGATAGCATTTTTCGTACAAAATCATTATTCGTTGTCCCTCATGAAAATGATGCGGGCACCTTGCAGGCCGCTCATAGAGAATGGAAATTGGTGGATAGTAGTCGCACTCCATTTGACCTGTGCGAATACCAAGATGATTCCTGCATGAAGAGAGGGTCAGCATTTAGTTTGCAAATCGGGTACATTATTTGGTAATGTTGTGTCTTACTTCGTTTCTCCAAACTGTCTTACTTGTATCTTTATTTCTCTTGAAGAATTTCAGACAAAAGGGCTTATTCTTTTGCATTTGGGAATAGAACTTCGAAAGGTCGTTAGCTATTCGGTGTCTGTGGTAAGCAGTGGAAAGAGTATCAAATACTACCTGTTTTCATAAACGAAGTTTTCCTTTCTCTTTGCAATGCGTGTTTATTATCACACCAACGAGCATATTGATCGGCTAAATTAAGGTTAGTCTCTATATTAAAAATTTATGGTAATGAGTCTTCTCTCCTTATAACACTGCAAGATTGTGCTTTTAACATTAAAACATGAATTTAATTTTTAATTTGTTTCAGTCAAATAAGTAAAAAGTTCCAATATGCCTATCTGATAAATTATTTGGATAAATTCTTTTGATTATTCTAATTGAACCCCCACGTAGTGTCTTTTGGGCAACATATATACTCATACGACAAAAGGTCTGATAACAGGCAGTTGACTGCTGACTTCTAACTACTATTGCCCTATGTATGTCATATCCGCCTACGTCCACATTATTCATCTCACATTTGTTTCCACCTTTCCTACCTTCGTCATTAAATTCTCTTCTGTTCAAAACCCACCATCCTTTCAACTTTTTTTCACTTTGTTGTTTCTTCTCCACTGTGAAGCCTGAAGTCAAATAAAGGGCTAAAGATAACTAGCAAAATACCTGTCACTTGATATAAATAAATAAATAAATGATTAGAACTGGTCATTGATAGTGCTTACGCATTTAAGTAAAAGTTGACTTGATCAAGTAAAGTTCACCACTAATCACACGTTACGGATTGAAATACTTCAAATATAAAACACCGATGCCACTGAAAAATTATGCTCCCGAAGTCATGACTTGAATAATAATGTGCTACTTGAGCTAGTCAATATTTGAATATAAGTAAGCTTATTTTAACAGTTTAATCGATTTTTCAATACCCAAGCATCGCTTCAAAATTTAGCCATTTAAGTCAAAAAAGAGGGGATTGGGTATATTTTTAATTATTTGATATTCATTTATACTTAAATGAATAAGTAGTGGAAGTGTATTTTGTATATGCTTCAGAATTCTCTTCGTTATTGGGTCTGATTTTGTAACAACAAAAATTTCAAAGCAAAATGACGAAACGAAAAATATTATAATTATTTCAAATTTCAGGCTTTATGATATTTATCATTAGCCCCTTAGTTGATTTCAGCTTTCCCCATGGGTAAGAAAGTACATATATAGGCGTTCATTAGCTGACTTCTGTTTTCCCAGTATGTCTGTGTTTCTTCATTATCTTTATACCGGGATACCGAATCTGATTGGTCTTCTAAATTTCCACATGATGGTGCTGTGACAAGCGATCGTGTATAAATTTAGCAACGGCTTCAATTCTTGGCCAGTTGGTTATGCCAGACAGTGCCTCTACCTACTCTTTCTCCTTTGTTCAAGGTTTAGATTTGTTGCACATTGAAGTCTTGAATTCTCTCCTGATTTAGGTCTTCATTGTGTGAAAAACATCGACCGTCTATGCCTTGAAACATTGTTGCCCCTTCTTAGCAAGTGAGTCAGCAACCACATTGCTTTTTATGCTTGTCAATGAGCGGGAATCCACTGTAGGACCACTGTTTTGTTTTTCCTTCATCAACGGATAGAGTTTTTACATTATGATATCTTAGCAGTTTTGGGAAGCACTTTGCTTCCGTTTAAGGTTTACTTGGTTTTCTATGTATGCCTATCGGTGAAGACCTCGAGCCATTGATCTACAGGATACTTAACATTGATTGTCTCAAGAGCCAGTGAGCATAATTTTTGTTAGCAGCGGTGATTTAACAACGAACATTCAGATTCGGGAGTGCAGCCTTGATATTTATCTTCTGCCGAATAGACATCCAATAAAGTG